AAACCTTCTTTTTGTTGTTACTGGCTTTCTACTCAAAGCAGCACCAGGTGGTTAGATCCACCCAGCCTTTCTGTTGTTGTGTGCCTTCAAGTCATTTCTGGCGGTGACCCCAAAGTGAAACTATCATGGGGTTTTCTTGGCAAGTTTCTTCAGCGGGGGTTTGTCATTGCCACCTTCTGAGGATGAGAGAGAATGACTTGTCCAAGATCACCCAGTGGGTTTTCATAGTTGAGCTGGGATTCAAACCCTGGTCTCCAGAGTCCTAGTCCAATGCTCAAACGACTATGCCACACATTACTCATGCCCCTGCCTAGCACCACCAGGTTGTTGTTGTTGTTGTTGTGTGCCTTCAAGTCCTTTCCAACTTATGGTGACTCTAAGATGAACATATCACAGGGTGTTGTGTTCTTTTTGCAGAATTTGTTCAGCAGGGGTTGCCTTTTTCTTCCTCTGGGGCTGAGTGGGGATCGGAACTCTGGTCTCTAGAGATGTAATCCAGTGTTCAAACCACCATACCACACTGGCTGTCTAGTATTACCAGAGCAATGGGCAAAATTTTAATAGTAATTAGATAAAACTGTTTGGCACTGCTTCTGTTGGTGCCACCACACTCACATAAGCCAGTCAGGAAGATCCACTGTAGGGAAGAGTGTCTCCTAGGTGTTGGGTTGCCCAAGATAGTAATGATTATTACACAATTTTAATGGTTGGGTAAAAGAGGAAATTTCATCAGGTATTCTGTTGCACAGAGTAGTCTCTGACAACGCTGGCTCATCGGTTTAGTAACGGAGATGAGCACTGCCCCCAATGGTTGGACATGACTTGACAACCTTGTCAACAGGGAATACCTTTACCTTTACCTATTGCTTGCATGACAAGGGGCACCTGCTAAAATTCCCTCTTCTATATAACCATAGAAGAGACAGTGGCCTTGTCCCTTATTTTACCTTGTAACCCTTACTAAAATGTTTGGGTTAACCCTGGTCCTTCAGACCTGGAATGAGTCCTAGGGTTGCCCTAGGTTCTATAGGAATAAAATGAGTTTTAGCCTAAACCTCTTCCTGACTCACTAGGTTTTTGTGTGCAGGGAGTGTGTGTACACATGGGGAGCAGTATTCAGATCCAAAGATCATGTACAGTCAGAAATTATTACATCACAGACAGAAGTAAACTCAGTGAGAACTGTGACACAGGCACCTGGGTAGTAGGGATGGCAATCCCCTGCATACAGATTTTGAATGTTGTAACTCTTTGTAAGATGTGTGAACACAAAATTCTGAAGTTTAATTTAGCGGTTGGGGGCTCAGTTTTCTTCTGCATCCAGGAATCTTTAGCAGTTGTGTTGTAATGTCCTTCCTGTACACATAAGACCAAAAACAGGCCATCCTTTTTAACAAGTGAAAGCTCAGATTTAGATAATCCAAGTTAGTACCCACAGAGGGGTTGATGCTTTCCCCTGCCGGTTGGGGATGTCCTACTTGAGACCCTCCAGCTCCTGTTGAACTGCCATTCCTATTAGCCTTAGCCAGCATCGCTTGTGGTAAGCAATGGTGGGAGATACAGTCCAGTTGCAGAGCCACTCAGTACAGTACATATGCTCCCTGGCCCTGTTTTAAGTTAGGGCAACAACGGAGAAGATGGAGGGCTTCCATCCCCCCCCCCCCCCCCATGGATTGCATGAAAATGTTGTGACTCTTGTTTCATTTTTGGCTACCTTTTGGCTGGTTTTGGGAGGGGAATAGTTATGGATGTGTGGGGAGTGTTGGTCCAGTTTCAGTTGGTTTGAAGGGGAAAAACCCTGCCCATTTTATCAATATAGTGGATCTGGGGACTTTGTGGGACTCCAGGGGCTTTTTGTACAAAAACTTAAACCCCACTTTTCTAGTGCTTCTTTAGATTAGTCAGAAACAGCAAGTAATAAATAGAAAATAAATAGAATTAAAACATCTGAGCCTGCCCAAATTCTAAGATCATTGGTGGAATCACTTCTCTCAATCTCATCACTTTCAGAGACACATCTGGTGAAATGTGGAAGAGGGCTTTATCTGTGGCTGCTCCTGCACTGTGGAACTCCCTTCTTGGGGAGGTTAGGCTGGCTGCCTTCTTGCTGTCTTTCTGCCACCAAATAAAGATTTTTATATTCCAGCAAGCATATGGAAACTGTTTTATCTGATGGTTTTTCTTTTTTAGTGCGCTACTGTTTTAATCTTTACTTTTAGATTAATGTTTTATATAATTTCAATTCTATGGACAGTTTAATATTATTTTAATTTTAACTTCTTGCTTGTGTTGGTTTTCTTTTTTAAAAAGCTATATGTGGTGTTACTTGTGACTCTTTGTATTCTGTAAGCTGCCTTAAGTCCCTCCTTTGGGAAAAAGGCAGAATACAAATAAAGTGATTGATAGAAACATTATGATAAAAGGTATATACAGCAGATAAAACATTGCATGACATTTAGAAAACAAATGCCTGCCTAAACAAGAAGGGTTTTGCAGGGTACCCACCTTCTCTAAGAAAGGACTATGAAATGAGATTTCTTTCCCAATGGGGCATTACACCCTCCCCCAGTCTATTTCAGTGTCCTTTATCAGGTTTTCCTTGTCTTTGTATCCTGGCTGGCAGCCAGTTGATGCTTTAATTGTCAGCATGCTGTGTCCTTCCTTCACATTGGTATCTTGGAGATTTGCTTCAGTTGGATGGAATCCACACATGCTTATTTCAACAAACTGGCAATTATTTATTCCCAAAGGGGTACTGTTTTCCTTCTGTTTCATCCTACTATGGTGAACATTTACCAAGAGTGTGCATTTTCCTTTAAACCTCTGATAACCATGATGTTTTGGATTGCAGCTCTCATAATTCCTTCCCATTGTTCATGCTAGCTTTGACACGTGGGAGGTGATGTCCAAAACATCTGGAAGGCTGAAAATGTTCTGCCCCATATTTAAACTCTACATCAGGTCTGTGTGACCCTCATAGACATGCTAATATTTCATCAAAGTACATGTGCAATAAAACAGTACAACTTCTGGCTCCTTATCAAGGAACTCTTATTCAGTACTAGTGATTCTCAACTGTAGGTCCCCAGATATTGTAGGAATTGGATTGCAGCTCTCCAACTCTTCCCAACATGGCCAGTTGACAGGGAGTTGGGAAGTTGGAGTCAGAGCTTTGAAAATTTATTTTTGGACTAGAAATCCCAGTGATAATCAGTTCTATTTGGTTTATATATTTTGATCTTAAAAAGAAACAGTGTATACTGTGGTTAATAAGGATACTGATTCAACATGATTTGTCTGATACACCAATAGCATACATTCTTTTAATGGTGCTTATGTAGTGAAAAATTACTATCAGTGCATGAGGTGGTGGTATCAACAGACACAAGAGGAACCACCAGATTTAAAGGAAATAATATTTAGAAGGAAGCCAAGGAGAACTCTCCTTGCACCAATCTAGTGAGCCAGTTTAGAATGCTCAGTAACTACCAAATGCTTATTCCTTGTTGTTGGGGTACAGAAAACTTGAAGAAAGGAGGGATGGAATGGAGTATCCTGGAGGGGAAGCCAGTGTGGTGTAGTGGTTTGAACATTGGACTATGACTCTGGGAGACACGGCTTCGAATTCCCACCTAGCCATAGAAATCCATTGGGTGACTTGGAGGAAGGCAAAGGCTAAATAAATGTGGCCAAGAACACCTTGTGAGAGGTTTGCCTTAGGGTCGTCATAACTCAGAAATGACTTGGCACACAGTAACCATGACATCCTGAAGGAGGACATGACTAGATGGAGCTCAGAGCTAGAGTGTTCCACTCTGCAAGATTTTGTTGCTGTTCTGATGTGTTTGTACATAATTTTGAAAACAGTTGCAGTCAGGCTAAGCCTCATTTTTAAAGAATAGCAACGTACAGAAGATCATGCAGGAAACTCTCTTAATCTTTCAGAAGTTTTTGTTGGATGATTGCCTTCTGGGAACCTTTCCAACCAAGTTGCTTCCACCTTTTCCTGTCCCTGCCCTATTGGCCAAAATATCAAGAACTGCTCTGTTTCTGCTTTGAGAAACAGATGTCTCCACTGTGTATTGATTGAAAACCTAATCTCCGAATGCACGGACCAACTGTATATATTGACCTATTACAATGTCTGTCTGAAATATTTCATGAGAATTTGCTAGAGGATGCTTGTCAGATTTTGAAAGGTCTCTACACTGAACATTGTGACAATATATCTGAGCAATGATGATCATAGGGGTATGTGTAAGTGGAAGAGAGATCTTCAGCTGCTTCGTATGGTTTGCTGACTTAGGAGTTGCTCTGTTGTTGTTGTTTTAGTCAGGCCCTGAAGAGCCTTTAAGTTAGATTGCAGTAGTTTGGGGGAGTTACATTTCTGTTACATTTCCCTCAGAGCTTTCCATGTTCCTTATCCATCTACCTCACACTTGATGTCCTTCCATATTTAGTGGCTCATAGCTGAGTTCGCCTCTTGTCTTCACAGAGGTTGCCTTTCCCTTTTGGGGTATGCCACTTCATTCTGGCTCTCTTGTATTTACTTTCCCACAATTGTGTTCTTATCTGCTGCAGCCTAGGCTACTTGTCGCTGAAGAGCCTTGTTGGATGACTACTTGAATTTGGCTGCAACTTCAGGATGCCAACAGCTGAGACAAATGGAAATCATCATGAGGCTAAATTGGGACTGCATAACTTGTGACTGTCCAAGCTGAATCCAGCTGACCAGCTATGTATAGTGGCCCACCAGGGATTTAGTAAACCTCATGTCCTTGCTGTGTGTTCCCAAGAAGAAAGCTGTCATCTACCTGTCAGGCCACTGTATTTGGCTAACTGGCCAAGGGTGTTTTTCTGCTTGGGATGGAGCAGTAAATGGCAGTCCTCCACTTACCCACTTTAAGGTCCTTTGTATTTAAAAACTGGAAAGCACGTATTCACAGTGGAAGAATGAAAGGAGAAAAAAATCTTACATGCTATATGACGGTCCAAAACTTTTATTTCTTAAAAAGAAGAAGACCAATTGTTGATAAAGCCAAAACACATTGAGCTTTTAAAGAAATCAACATTTTTGACCATTGAATAGCTCATGGGACGTTGTCTCCTTTCATTCTTCTATGGTATTTAAAGCCAGTCAGCTTGGGAAAGAAAATCCCACACATGCCTCTCCCTCTCTGTGACAATACAAATATAATAGCAACATAATAACTAACTAACTGCCTGTTGCCTTGCTTTGACACTTCAAATCTGTTGCTTGTGACAGTAACTATACTCTGCCTGTTAGTGGGCCTGACCC